AATGCTTAAAAAATAAATGATATAACGATGATTATATATTATGATTTTATTGGATATTAATATTATAAAAGTAATTTAACTAATATTTTTAGTTTGAAATACTAAAATATTTAATGAAATGAAAAATTAAATATTAAAATAAAATTTATATTTATTTATATATTAAATTAATAAAAAATATGATAAAAGAATCATTTTATATTTAACTCTTATTATCATGTAGAGAGCAAAGAGGTGAAATGAAATGAAACCGCGAAAGTAAAGAGAGAGAGAGAGAGAGAGAGAGAGAGAGAGAGAGAGAGAGAGAGAGATCTCCAGCTTTGAAAAGATTGTCCCTTAGCAAATAAAAACTCATGTCTTGAATCCGGAGGGTGGAGCCCAAGAGAAGAGCAGCTCAAGAGGTAAAACCTCCAATAGGACAAGCAACAGGAATAATGAACGGGCCTTTTATGTCTGCTAAAACCACATAATAAGTCATGGGAGAGATTAAAAAGTGGGGAACAGCACCAAGCCATGCTTAGAAGCATGGGGACAAGGACTGCCCCAACCCACTGGTTTTGAACTCTTTTGTTCTCTCTTCCCCCCCCCCCCCCCCCAACCCTCTTCCCAATTGGGGTCCCATTCTCAAAGTATAGTCAATTTTCTCTGCTATTTCACATAACTAAACAACTTTATTTATATCAAATTTAACGAATTTATGAAAACTTATCACGAGAATCCACCATCCGTTGGTCTAAACAACTTTATTCATGCTTTTGTCATTGAATTAAAACTTTAGAGTATATAGTATATAACAAATTAAGCATCCACTATGTAAAAGATAATGAATTTAAATATACAATACCCCCAAAAGTTAGCTGTATGAAATACTTATAGAAGTTAGTATTGAAGGCATTTAGTGATTAAAAGGATATGTTAATTTTTTTTATTAAGAAACTTGGTACATAGTTAATAATATTTGGAACATTTATGTTAACGTTTAGTATCACATTAACTCATTATGTCATTACCGTCTTCTGTTGATTTTTATTTTATTTTTATAAATATAAATATTCAGGTATTATTATGCAAAATTTTTCATCTTAATTTTTTTATCTTTCTCTCATTTTGATTTTTTTTATTTACCCTTCGAAATGTAAAAGTAAAATTTATTTTTGTCTTTGTTTTTAACTTTGTTTTTCTTTTGTCCTTTCAAAAATACCTCACGGAGCTCGGCATAAACAGTTAATATTACATCATGTTTCCACCACAGACCGGCATGCTATAGCTCGACAATAGAAGCAAAAAATGTACAATGTACAATGACAAGACTAGAAGAAGAAGAAAAAAAAAAAATGAAATGAGAGGCAAAAATTGCAGATCATGAGATAGATATAAGTACCGTTGAAGTTATGATCAGAGAGAACATGCAAGTGAAGTTTGCGATGAAAGGAGGGCCATCGGCCATCTCAAAATATGTGAAAAAAGAAACAAGGGTCATTTCGATAGTGAATGCGGGAAGTAAATTCTGGGAAGTTATCTGTCTGATCACTGTAATTTCACCCATCACTCATCAGCAATTCAGTACTTGCAAAATTAAAAATGGTGAGCTCAGACTAGCCCCCAACATGGTTTCCAGCCAATTGATTCATTTATAATGAAAGCATGTTTAATCGGCAACTTTGTTTATTGACGTTCACTTATTGTACAAACTCAACATTTAATTCGAATGATAAGATAAACTAAAAGGACAAGAAAGATAGGATCAAATTAAGTCACTGGTAGAAAATAACTGGATTTCGGAAAAAGACCATATTCCTCCTCAAATAAAAACAAAAGACATAATCCTACGTGTTGAGAAGACAGGCATTATCAAATTAGAGGAGGACAGAAGAGCAGAAGCTCAAAGATACATGGATAGGTTCCTCTCACACGCTCTCATTCATGTTAAACCTAAATTCCAGTTGGGTTTCGTTATATTAGTTTTTAATCCCTAGTAAAAAAGCCTGTTGAAGCTTTAATGACAGGATAAAGGGGAATGGAAGTTGTGAAAGTTAAATGGGGTACTGAAGAGGTCAAGACTTATATTCTCCATAGTTTTGTAGACTGAGCCCAATCTGTCTTTGCATTTAAAGCACCCCTTTATTATTAATGACAAATACAGAGAAGTAAAGAAGATGGTATCTTCACTTGTAAGAACCGATAACCAACAACCCTTGTCCTTTCAAATTCAAGAAAATTTTGGTATTTATGCCTTTTGTAAGGTGAATTTCACTTTCTTTGGGAGCTTCTAGCTGTCTTCTGCTGATTCGAAGTCAGAGAATTAATGGGTCTATAGATTTCCAGGTGGTGAAATTATATCCTATATCCATTTAAGATGGTGTGGTTTTGTGTAGCTTTCAAAAAGTGAGATAGGCATATCTGTTCTTAGTCTTGAAAGCTGGTTTGGACAGGGAGAGGAACGTTTTCTCAGGCCTCTAAATATTTAAGAACTCAAAGCTTTTGCCATCTACTTGATTCTTGGTGTATTCCTTTATAGTTCTTCTTGCCTATACTGATGGAGCCTTCCGAAAACTTTGGAGGCACCGAAGAATGCCACAGCAGTGAATCAGGGTGGACAATGTACATTGGTTCCCCCGTACAAGGTGGTGATGACGACGACGATGATGGACACAATGAAGCTGGTGATGCTTATGCTGCTGATAATGGTGGTCATGCTGATGAAACAGATGCCAATCACGAAACTGACAGTGATGATTCTATGGCTTCTGATGCTTCTTCAGGTCCAAGCCACCAAGGACAGTTTTATGGAAATATGGAGGGAGGTCATGGAACGTCTCATTTCAAGCATGACGAAGACGAGGAAGAAGCTGGCTATTGTTACTTGGACAAGAAAGCTAAGAAATCAGTGGAGAAGCAAAAGCTTGGAATGAAAAAGAAAGAGGACAAAGAAGAGAAAGAGCAGATGACATTCAAGGCTAAAGGAGCTAGTACTCCATCTCGAAGTGGTTCCAAGGTAAGAAAAAGCATCTGGTTGGGAAAAAGAAAGTAGATCTAGTTCTTTTTGCTCCTTTTTCTGCCCCACTTCTTTGTTCTTTTGGTGATTTTGCAGGGAAAACCTGTATCAGCGTAAGAAATTATGTTATGTTGTGTGTTATCAAAGCTATAATGTAAACGCGTTCAATCAAGAAATTTATTATAAGCTTTGCTTTTGCTCCACTCCAATCAAGAAATAAGTTTCACAAGTGAATGAGCTGTGAGCATTTCATTTGTATACATGTCAAAATAACATCCTCATATATGTTGACAATTAATAGCTAATATAGATTTCTGTCATTTAAAGTTGAATAAATGATGATAAAAGTAAGCCCTCTTCTAAAGAAAAACCTTTAACTAATGCACCAAAACCATTAAGCGACAAATATGATCAATGTAGCCAAACTGACCACTTTGAGGTTGAAAAACCAATTCGATCGACATATTAATTCACTGTAATGGTTCATGATATCTTGCAGGGAAGTGGCAACTATAGTCGACGTCGAAAAGCAAAATTTCTGAACCCTGAATCTTTGGCAACTAATGTTTAAATCAAAATTTAATTTGCTATGCAAAACCTCAAGATTTTTGCATTCACAGATTATTTTTGTTGTAGAAATCAATGAAGTTTAAAACCATAGACAATAATGAAGCAGTCATATTCATATATTCCAAAGTCGAATCCAATTAAAATTGTCGAGAAAACAATTGGTCCGAGACATGATGTTCTTTGTATTTTAGGTAGACCCCAATACTACAGGAAAGTAACCGGCCAACAGTAGAAAAAATATTAAGCTCTAAAATGGACAAAATCTACACCAAAAAGTTCATTCAAATCAATAGACAAAGCAACACATCCTGGTGGATCCAGTGGGGGACACGTTGCCGAGCACGTGGGGTGAAGGGAATTTTAGTAATTTGGCCAAAGACTATGACAATTCCACGACGGCCAGGCCAACTCACAACAATAGCTTTTGGTGTGGAGGGCCCTCGTGAGAGGAAACAATTACGTTGCTTTCAGCTATGCTGGTTTCTGCAAACATTGCTTAGCAATTCGGATGCTTCTGCTTGAGCAGTCTTCGTTTCGCTAGCAAACAAAATGCAATCACGTAAACTTCCATCATTCCATAGTAACACATTTTCACAATCATTAAAGTTTGACCAACCCAATCTAAAGCACACTACAGATTGTGGTTCATTCAATAATTTATCTTAAAAAACTTTTTTCTGTTGGGTGAAATTTCCATTTATATTAAAAGTTCAAAGTGCTAAAATGTGATTAAATTCAACAATTTCATGCCATCCCATGAGGAACAACTAAGTATTGATTGATACAAGGAATGTCTTGTTTTGCATAGGATTAATATGGAATGATTAAGTTTTGTGGAGCCTGATTACTACTGATTACTACTTTGATGTTAATTCAATTGTTTTTATGTAGAGCAAATATGGATCACTATAAATATCTATAATTAATTTTTCCTTGCACTTGTTTTATTATCACTTTCTGAAAAATGGGGTTTTAATCTTAACCTATTACAAAGTAAACAAACTGCTTTAAATAATACAATTATTTGCAGTAAGGATTTATATTTGATTTAGTGTCAAAATATAATATTATACACCATAAACGCACCACAAATTGTCACATCTGATGCAAGAAACATGACAGAATCCGTGTAACTAGCAAATCATCCTCTAACCCCCAGTTCTTATAATAAGCATTTTGTTGATTCAATTTTTCTTTAGGAAAAATGTTGTTAAACTAGTAGAGCTTTAAATTACTACAGTATATATTTATAGCAGTCATTGCTATATTCATACTTTTCAACTGGTTCAAAACCAAGTGAAAATCAAGCCAAGTATGTTTGTCCTGAAAGAGCCTTTGCAGTTATAAGCAGATAAACAAGTGATCAAATTAACAATCAAACATGAAATCCAGGCTTCAAGCTAGGCACAATGTGGGAGTAAGTCAGCGAAAGGGTAATGCAAACTAATGAAAACAGGTCGAGTAGAGGTGGTCGGGTCCTCCTAATCGAGGAGCAGTGGAATTTCGAAAAGATCAAGTGACATCATGGCTTTGCAATGGACCCTTAGTTCACCTAAGAAATATATCATTAATAAGCTCACTACAGGGCATGTGACCACTTGTTGAATTTAGCTATGCATATTTCCTTTTCAGGGTTTCGAAAGTGCCAATCTCAATACTGAAGTTGGGCTCCACGGAGCTTGTTCCATCACCAAAGGGTGACAATGTTGTTTTCCACCAAAAATGACAGTCAGATGCATATGCTGAATTCCTCTTTTCCAGAAACTATCTAGCTGGCTATGTCCGGCCTTCCAGATCCTGATCATACAATTGACAGCCACAAAGGAAAAAGATTTGAGAGCTATATATATCTAGAAAACCAAAGTTGGAACTTGAACCTGGCAAGCATGTCAATATGAGATGTTTCATCCCAAGGATATATAGTCTTAAATGTTAATTAAATGTCATCATGAGATGTTTCATCAAAGGGATAATGTCTTGCCTTAATCAGTTATTCTAAAATTACCACTTGAATTGTTCTTTGGTATCACAAGCAACTTCGGCATTGACCTGTGAAAGGAGTGAAAGCAGGAATTCTGTGGGCAACCTCAGTTTAATGATCATGCAGTGAAGGCGAGTATGTTTGTCAGTTTAACTGGGAAATTTAGAATTTATTATGAGATAATTTTTTTAATAAAATAATTATTGAGAAAGTTGTTATTATTAAAAAGATCAAATTTCCGAGATATAGGGGTATTCCAGAGTTGGAGTAGACACAACAGTTAAAAAAATTGCTGCATGACATGACGTTTTCCGCTGAAGTTCAGGCCCGCACGGTTGGAAACGTGTTCGAAAGATTGGAGTTCTTTTCTAAAGCTGGTCCAATCTCCAGTTTGGGTTTCGGCCCAAACAGTTCACGTAATCATATGTCCAAGACAACGTGTCATTTCCAAAATTGTTACGTGGACAAAACTAAACCTTTTTTTTGTTCCTTCGTCGTCCGTTTGTCATATCCATTCCTCCCTTTCTTCATCTTTTCTCTTCTTTGGTTCATCCCCTGCCAAACTGAAAAAGAGAAAATGTCTAAACTGTTGCTCTTCCACACTGCTCACTCGACACCCAAAATCCACCAAAGAAGTTTCACTACAATCCTGTCAAGACCTCTTTCAATCCCTTCTCATTCCAAATGCCGCTCTCCTGTTTCTCTCTTCCCTTCCATTTCTTCTTCAACTCTCCACCCCCACCTCCAAAGACAAAGCTTTTCATTCTCTTACTCTTTTTCCACTCCAGCTTTCGATGATTCCTCGTCTTCAACCGAGGCTCAGAAAGAAAAAGAAGAAAAAGTTGGAAGTCGAAGTGGTGAAAAGTCAGAGACTGAGGAGTATCCGAGTGGAGAAGTGGAGTATGAGAAGATGAGTGGGTGGAAGAGTTTCGTTGTTAAGTTTAAGATGCTTATTGCCTTCCCTTGGGAAAGGGTTCGAAAAGGCAGCGTCTTAACTATGAAACTGCGCGGCCAGGTTTGGTTTTTTGAATCTTTTCAGTTTTCCTTTTTCTTTAGGCTTCTTTACCCTTTTTTTTTTTTTTTTTTTTTGATGCATTTGGTAGTAAATAGTTGTCTTGATAAAGCAAGAAATGGGTTTTGGCAGATGCTAATGGAGACACTACTTTAAGTGAAATGAATACAATTTGAAGGTTATTTTGTTTATAGAAGGATTATACATCCATTTTTTTGTGAAACATTGTTTGTCATTTTCTAAAGAATTGACTGAATTTAAAGGGTAAATTAAATCTTGTTTAGCTGAGTCGTAAATATTTCTGATTGTTTGATAATCAAAATTTTTTCTTTTATATTGTCACCATAGTTCTTGCTACTTTCGGTTATTATGTTTTGCACATTGAAAAAGGGTAAACCAGGTTCTGATGTAAGATAGAACTGCGTATTTTATATACCTATTCACACAACTGTCCAGAGTGAGAAGTGTCCGAGATGTAAAGCTTGCCAAAAATGGCATCTGGATTGGTTCAACTGAACCTTAATGCCAGTATTAATATTTAAACTTCTTTCCTGAGAAATTGTTTGCATCTTTAGCTTTTGATATCATTGATTTATTTTGGATTTGAAAGTTTCTACTCTTTCCATGTTCAGATATCTGATCAACTGAAGAGCCGTTTCTCTTCAGGATTATCTCTTCCACAAATTTGTGAGAATTTTCGTAAAAGCTGCATATGATCCTCGTATTTCTGGTGTCTATCTCCACATTGAACCTCTGAACTGCGGATGGGGAAAAGTTGAGGAAATTCGAAGGCATATTTTGAACTTTAAGAAATCAGGTAGCTTCACAGAGTTTATTGTCTCACTTCGATTTTGGATATCCGTACACATAAATTGAACAGTTGGACTTGGACCTTGGGTATTCTAATCAAGTGAAAACTGGCGAGTTTATTCTTTGAGAAGGGAAATGGCTACTGTGGCCCTAAGCCCCTAACTACTGTTAAAGAACATTAAACCATTTCTGAATTTTCAAATACATGATCTTGATACAAAAGTTAAGGGTGGGGGGGTTTGTGGTCAGTTATCTGTTACAGTGAATAACTTCTGGGGTTACTGTGCTGTGTTTATTCTGTTTCAAACATAATGCCCATGTCTTAAGTCAGCTTGCATTATAAACTTTTTAATCAACTTGATTTTTGATAACTTTTTTCAAGCATATTTCTCATAAATTAACA